GGCGCCTACAGCCGCCACAATTACTAATTTTATGCACGATTTTTTGGCTTAAAGAATTATCGTGATGTCGAGAAACATCTTTAAGACCGTATATTACGTTAAATATAGCATACGAGAGTGCGTTGAAAAGTTTTGAGCCTAACATAGAAACACTTTTATTTTGGTCAAGACAATGAGTTTGACCCAAAAAATTATTTCTGGTTTAGGCTCAAAACTTTTCAACCCACTCTCGTATGCTATATTTATCGTAATATGTATACGGTCTCAGAGATGTTTCTCGCATTTTGCCTTTCAAATGCAAGTGTTTAATCACGGCACGATATTCGATTTTTCGTTTTAACGAAAATACTAACATCCACTAGCACAAACGACAGTCGTACAACTGAGAGCCCAAAATGGCTGAAATTTTCAGAGGTATCCTTCAAATCTTGTACAGTCGCAGTATTGAAGTGGCGACGACAAATAATGCCATTTTCATGTTGAGGCTCAAGACTTTTCAACTCACCATTGTTTGCTTCACAAAATAACTTTATTGTGAAAACTGATAACCGTATATTACGATGAGTATAGTATATGCTTCAGTGGTTGAGTTGTAAAACGCTTGCCTAGTGTGTCGTAGTGCGGTGAAGCAAGTTCGAAACTCGGTTGAGGTATATGATTTTTCACAGTAAATTTATATACAGGTTGTCAAATTCGTTTGTGACTATTCCAAAAATGATGGTAGATTGGATCAAGCTGAGAAGAAAAGTTATATACCATTTTGCAAAATTCGTAATAATTATCGTGTAATTGTAAGAAAAACATCTGAGCGAATAAGCGCACGGAGGAGCGGAAGGCCGAACTCGCGGCAGACATGCAAAATGGTGTATTTGTTGACATGACTCAGAATCCGATAGCGAGAGCTATCCGCGCGTCACTCGCCGTTCGCTGCTCCCCGCTTCCCGCCATCCTCATCGATGGATGCGTGATTCCACCTCTCACTATCGGATCCTGAGACATGTCAACAAATACACCATTTTGCATGTCTGCCGAGTCCGGCCTTCCGCTCCTCCGTGCACTTATTGGCTCAGACGTTTTTCTTAATTACGCGATACTTATTACGGATTTTGTAAAATGGTATATAACTTATCTTCTCAGTTTAACCCAATCTACTGTAATCTTTGGAATGATCAAAAACGAATCCCACACCCTGAATAATATATAATATTGAAAAATATGAAAACTCATGTACCTCAGCCGGGTTTCGAACCTGGACATCCTCGCACTACGATACACTAGGCAAGCGTCTTCCAATTCAATCACAGAGGCATTTGCTATTTTTATCATAATATAGTATACGGTCTTAAAGATGTTTCTCGCAATTGTATTTAGATTGTTTGAACTGTGCGCCGACTGTTTCATCGAAATTCGCCACGCTAGCAAAGCGCCTCAGTGCGACAAAAATTAGAACAGTACACTTCCCCCACCACTGGCCGGTCGGCGTTGACAACGACGACGACGATGTTCCTTTCTTACTTTGCTTCGTAACATGCTTCTCGCAAATGTATTTTGACCATTTGAACTGTGTGCCGACTATTTCATCATCGAAAATCGCCGCGCTAGCAAAGCGCCTTAGTGCGACAAAAATTAGAACAGTACACTTCCCCCACTACTGGCCGGTCGACATTGACGACAACGCCAGCGACGTTTCTTAAATAAAAATTTTATCTTTCCCACTTTGCATCGTCATACCCAGTCAGACATGACTCGAAAACCGACGTCGAAACAATATCGAATCGATGCATTTTTGTTCCATTTTCGACTTGGCTCGAAAATGGAACCAAAAATGCATCGATTCGATATTGTTTCGACGTCGGTTTTCGAGTCATTTCTGACTGGGTACCTCCACTCGTAGTATTTCCAAGTTGATGGGATCGGTCATTTTAAAGATTCGATAATCTAATAGAGTTTTTCATTGGCAGACCTGGTGCGCACTAAGTTCGCACTAACCGCGGACTGTGTGTTTCATTGGGGATTTCAGTGCGCACGAAGATCGTGCACGCAGTTTCATTGATAAATCTAGTGTCGAATTTCCGCACTTTTATGCAGAAATCTGGCACGAGCCCCGAGAGACGGTGTCGGTTACGTGCAACATTATGGCGGCGCGAATTGGTGTAGGTGATTTGAACGAGCAAAGTATGCAAATAGTACTGGATTTCCTCTCATCATCATCTAGTAGTGACGATAACGACTACTTACTTTTAAATAAAAGACGTATTGTCCCAAAAATAAAAAACTTTTAGAGGACGTAGTATAATATATAACTTTTCTGAGAAGGAGGTAAGTTTTTATTGTATAAGGTTATACATTGTACAGGTTATGCATTACTTGTAAACAGGTAACTAGAAGCAAATTATATTGGTGTTCTAATTTAAATGTAATTTTCGAATTTGAGCTTTGAACACTTTGAACAATTATATACGGTATAACAATATAAACAATTATTTGTAGCTGCTTTCCTTTTACGAAGTAAAAACTGATACGAATTGATATACTCGAACACGGTGGGTGTGTGTGTATTATTTTCATGTCTGATACGTTTGAATACACATAAATTATGTCTCACGTGTGTTGCATGCATGGGCGTATCCAGGGGGGGGGGGCAGCTGTCCCCCCCCTAGACTCAATGGAATCCCCATTGAGATTACGAATAATCAAAATTTCATAAGTTTTATCGACCTACACTGGCTATAGCGATTTTTGTTGACCGTATCAAGCTATTAAAATTCTTATTGCGAAAAATATTACCCCAGCCAGGATTCGAACCTCGGACCTCCCTACAATCCGTGACGGGCGTCTTAGCCAGCTCGACCACCGGGGCTGTGATAATACTATTCGCAATAACGTGTATATAAACTTTAGATGTCGTTTACGCGTCTTATTTCGACTTTCCAGAAACTGTGCGTCGATACGGACTGTCGACCGCACAATAACCTGTCGATACGCGATTTTTTAGAATTTCCCTTTTCCCTTCCCTCCACCTGATCCCATTCCACCTAACGGAGGAAACCAAGTTTTTGGTCCTTGGTATAATAATTAATAAATTAATAACATCAGTTGTTGGACACCATTATATTAACACCACCCTAAGGTCGACGGTGTGTTAAGAAACAAGAGTGGTAATTATATATCGCCAGAAATTATAAACCAAATTTCATAAGTTTTATCGACCTACACTGGCTATAGCGATTTTTGTTGACCGTATCAAGCTATTAAAATTCTTATTGCGAAAAATATTACTCCAGCCAGGATTCGAACCTGGGACCTCCCTGCAATCCGTGACGGGCGTCTTAGCCAGCTCGACCACCGGGTTTGGTTTATAATTTCTGGCGATATATAATTACCACTCTTGTTTCTTAACACACCATCGACCTTAGATAATGGTTTTAAAAAACCGTCAGCCGGGATTGGCTGACTCCCCCTCCCTCTGACCACGCCCCCCCCTGACTACCCCCTCCCTTCCCCCCAAGAACGAGTATAAAAGGACGAGCGCAACGCGAGGGAGCTCAGTATCAGAGTCTCCCAGCCCTGATGAAGCAGACTGCAACGCCTGCGAAACGTCGGCACCACACTGCAAACGGACGCGGCAACCATCCGGAAGCCATGAAGACTAAAGAATTTTAATAGCTTGATACGGTCAACAAAAATCGCTATAGCCAGTGTAGGTCGATAAAACTTATGAAATTTTGGTTTATAATTTCTGGCGATATATAATTACCACTCTTTTTTATTACGAATAATATAATTAATAGATTTGCCGAGGACTCCAAAAAATTAATTTTTATATAAATAAAAAAATTTTTTTTATAAGTACGTAGTTTAATTTATGCTGCATAATTCGCCTACGGGTGAATCCTGTTTTACCCCCCCCCCCCCTAGACAAAAGTCTGGATACGCCCATGGTTGCATGTGCTTTATAAAAGAAAAGCAGTCTTTATAACAAACTTTTTTATATTAAGGTTATAAGATTGGCAGAATCGTTAGAACGTCTACTTACTCAATAATTTTTCGTATATTTCTTCTTGACCATCTTGAAATTTTAACTCTAAAATATTCGTGTTTATTTTAATTTTTATTGAATATAAATCTTCCGAAGTATTCATTTTGAAAGTAACTTTTCGTTAAGTTTGTTAAGATCTATGTTATCACGTGCGATATATTCCAGTTCGATGGTTCACATTGTTACGTTAGCGCGACGCTCGCTTTTGATTGTCTCTGGCGTCGTCAGGGCGCTCCTGTATACTTTGGCTGATGGCAGACAACCATCCGTAAGCGCTTACGGCTTAAGTTTTTCTCTGCCTTACCGTAAGTTTACGGCTTACGGAAGTCCGTAAGCGCTTACGGATGGTTGTCTGCCTTCAGCCTTTCTGTTTTCAGTTCTGTCTTGTAGTCCGTCGTCGCCACTGCGTGCTAGCGAGCCGTGTTCCTTATATTTCGTTTTTCTTGTGACCGAAAGTTATTCTCAGTTCTTGTACTAAATAAACGTTAATCGCGTTTAACGAAGCTCTGTTGCTTACTGCGCAACGTCCCTATCAATAAAGTTAAAGCAGGTTAAGGAGCTGAAAAAAGTGCGCTAATGTTATGCACTAATCAAACCGCGAGTGTTTCAGTAGCCGTGCAAGAAACTTGCACTAGCGGTACACTCGGGCAGCACCGTCCCGTATTCCACGAGTTTCCAGTGCGCACTCAGTTCTACCCAATGAAAAACGCTATAAGGGTCTCTCAACTCGCATACTGACGTAAAGATACACGGTACGTGTCTCGCACGCAGTTTTCGCTACGCTTATACTTGGCGCGAGACACTACCGTGTCTCCTGATAAAGTTTTTACTATAATGTGCTTTTATTTCATCATTTATTACTCATCAATAATAACTACGCTTGTAAAAACAGTTATCACAAAAATGTGATTGCTAAGAGTTATTAGTATTTCACAAGAGTACTTTATAATTATATTCTTACCTGCAAATGTCTTCTCTTAATCCTACAAAAAATTGAATTCAAAATGGCTTCTATTATGGCAGCCGCATGAGACACGTTCTTCATCAATATACCGATGTCGTCATTCCGACTATTATATATGCTTATTATCATTGGTATCCATACCGCCATTGATATGAAAATAGCGACATAATAATAAAGATTGCGTAAAAAGAGTTCAGTTTTCCCAACATCTGGATGTGGTGGCCATGTATTAGTAAATGTCCCAAACAATCGTAGGATATAAAGCATTTTCTGAAATTTTAGGTGAGCGATTGCCATATCGTGGCATCAATTCTTGTTACACTGAATGTTCTCGATAATTATGCATTAGCTAGCGTTTCGAGGAAATATAGTAGGAAGAAAAGTATCAGTCGTAGGCAAACGGTGAAATCAATAACACATTAATTATTTCCTGACGACCGTTTGATGCATCATAATTATCAAATTAGTATCTATACCACAATCGTGAAAAACAAAGTTAGAAGGTAAGCACTAGGTGGCAAGTGGCATAGACTCTTCAATTACAATATATATCCATTTTGTTGCCAATTTGCTTCTAATTCTGTTACTTTGTAATTTCTGTAATTGTATACTGGCGTAGATCCTGTTTTATCCACTGTTCTATTTGATTAGAAACTTGTAGTTGAATTTAAAATTAGACATACAGCCGTTGAATAATATATTGCAATATAATATTGAAAAGACTTAATTGTGTTTCCTCGCCGACTTTGCTCGCCGGTCGGATTCAAGAGATTAGATAGAGACACTTAACTCAGTTGTTACGGAGAAATTAACACAATATATTTCACGTCAAAGTGTACAATGAGATGGGCTATTTACAATGTAAATGTGAATTGTGGACATATACGGCTGGTTTGGACGGTTCACGGCGCGGTATTCCTAATACGACATCGACTCGTTTAGAGGATCCTAACGCAAAACTTGAATTCCTAAAGTCACTAAATATATAAAGTACCGCAATCGTCCGCCATTTTGGCTCCATGACGCAACTATTTTAAATCTATGTTTGTATATGAATGTATATTAGGAATAAGGGAAAACTAAAAGAGTTGCATGGTAAAAATACACAAATGGAACCAGCCCCAATGACTTTGACCCTGACATACAGGTATGTTCTCAAGGTCACCCTCCTGAGTGACCCGCAGAAGGTTTTAGCCGTTGCTTGTTATTTGTTAAAAAATTATTAACAAAAGAAGTTTGATGATTCCGGGATAAAGTTCCGAAAAGGTCGAACCTCCAATCTTTTTTTCAACTATGTATATTTACGTATTTTGTATTTTGTCGCGCTGATTACGTATATAGTATGATAGTGAAAATTGGTACAAATTTAGTTTTATGACAAAACCATCAAAAACCCATAAAAATTATGGTTCTTAATATTTATCTCAACAAATATTTAAAATTTTGAAAAATGTTTCACATAAAAGTTATAAATCTCATTAAAATACACATTTTATATTGTATGCATTTTCACCGTACGAAGAATATTTCTTGAGAAAATTGAAAAATTTTTGTGTATGTTACAATACACAAAAATTTTTAATAATTGTAACACTATTGCAACAACATATTCCTGAGACTAAATCAAGTAAAAAAGTCCTCTACTACTTTTCCCTCCAACAAACAGTTATCGAAATATTATAAACTAAACATTAGTAGAATATGATAGTATAATAAACAATAGGGGGTTCCATTAAAAAAAATTGAAGGTGACCTTCACATGATCTTCCAACAATTCCAACAACTACTCAAAGTCAATTTAATGATATCATCTTATGCCCCCCTCGAAACCCAATAACTTTTGCTCAGGTCTTTTTGCTAGCCCCCTTCCCCGAAGAGATATTTGCGTGCGTTGATTAAAATGACACCCTGTAGGTATACAGGGTGGCCCCGAACATTTCGGCCAGACTTTGAAATTTTACAGGCAATTTAATTCTGAACAAGAAATGTCCTATAAACATGGGTCGAAAAATGCTTCCTTACAAAGTTAGCGCATAAAAACCTTTGAAATCACGGTTAGTTTATACAGTTTAACAAATGTAAAAAAAAGTATGCGTTTTTAAATAAAAAATACCAAAATATCTTAATAAATTTCTTAGGAAAATCACTAAAAATAAAAATCCTTTGTTGCCGCGCCGCTCCGTGCGCGGTGTATTTTCCTTCTTACTCGCTCCGGAGGTGTTCTCTAACGAGAACCGAAGGGGTTCTTTGATGGGATGTGGCTGGTCGGAGGTCACTTCAAGAAGACACCGTTGGAACTCACTTATTAACTTTATTTAACTGAGTTTCACAAGATTGGTTGA